GATGATGATGATGATGATGATGATGATGATGATGATGATGATGATGATGATGATGATGATGATGATGATGATGATGATGATGATTATGGCAGTCACGACGCTCGGCGTTACGAGCGTACACCTTGACATTCCTAGGTCGATAATTAACAAGTTTCCTGTGTAACCCACTGTTTTAAACATCAGGACAGTAGTAATGAACATAAAACTATCCTGATAGGGGGGCACAGTGCCAGCATGACAGTTTCTGTTGTCTTCGGCTCCAGGCAATATAAATCTTCCTCCTGCACTGGCGGGAGCACTGGGGTATTTCGCTTAGATAAAGGAAAGCATCAGAGGAAGCCTGTACGTTTTGCTCTCGATCGACATATTATGTCCTCCTCGTGGACAATTGTTTTGACTTGCAGATGTTAGTATCCGGTAACTCATAATCAGTGTATGGTGTGCTAATATGCTCAGACTGCCCTTTCGCAAATGTTCTTTTTCAATTGCAGGACGACAAAAGCCAACGGTTGAAAAGTAACATATGGCTACGAATGGTAGGTCCTACCAGTGTAACCTCAAAGACATTGATTTTTATGGTGCTTTTTCGGCTAAGAATGTCCCGACTTACTGTTATTTGTTTTTTCGTACACTTTTACAGTCAGTACTGTTGTTAATTCAAATCTACCAAGTTAATGAACCAAACGTAATTTTCAGGTTTTTGCAATTTTAACGTCAAACGTTGGCCAGCGCTCTGGATGAAATTTCGTCATTCAGTGTTTAGACAAGACACTAGGAATAAAAATGGCTATCGAACTTTTTGACCGTGCGAAAGGTCCTCACAGACAATTGTACCGCAACCAGTGTCAGAAGACCGCATTTCATATAGATGGAACAGCAGAACGAGGCTATGATTTAGGCACGTACAGCTCGAAAGGCAAGTCTTTATAGCCGTAGACGAAACATCCTGTGGTTCCGATACTGCAATGCGTTTAATAAAACGCCATCGAAAGCTTGTCAACGTGGTCAGTGTTCCAAAAAGTAGTCCATTAAAAGTCCAGACATCGTTTCATTTTGGCTAAAATTCTGATAGAAGGAAATTTGTGGATCGGACGCGGGAATACGAATCATCCTGCACTATAGGTGGCCTTGCGCGAAATTCCACGGGAGTGCCTATTACCGTGTCCTAACTTACCTCAAGCATCAACACTCGCCCTAGCCCTCCTCGCCCCAACTCTTATAACACTAACGCCAACCTCGACACTAGAAACTTAGGACAAGGTCACCTGCAGGTGGGGGGGGGCCATATTCCCGTGCCTAACCAACTAGTTAAACATGTCTTTTCGTCGTTCAGCTAAATTTAAATTCAGGAAAAATGCCTTCTATCTGCCAAGAATCAGATGCCAGTACTTGGGCATCGGCACTTAGTCGAGTGATATACGAAAACCATCTGATTGTGCTATACCATTAAATTACCGTGTTTAGGTACATAAGAGATCCTTTTCTGTGATAACGGGGCGTAGTAAGCGACAAGGCGCCTTTTGTTCTTCAGCCCTCTTACCGCTGACAAATCGGTCAAACAGAGACAGAACCTAGAGTTCGCACGGCTTAACCCCTCAAAAATACAGCGACTGTTTTGGCACAGTTGTCTCATTCTGCTGATTGACGGTATCTTGCATTTTTAGTGTTCTGCGAAAGCAAACTTTTGTAGAGCTACCTGTATTAGATTTCTGATTAAAAAGTGGCAACATAACCGTCCACTCAGAATACTGCGAATGAAGTACTTGGAGTTTTTAATATACTTTGCAACTCATATTTTAGAGTTAACTAGGGTTTCTCAAACAGCGTGTGCGTATGTAAAGAGGAGGCCACGAACTCAACTTCACAAGCACGCGGGTAGTAGCGCGGGCCAGCAATAAGAAAGGGCGAGAACTGCTGAAGGCCTGAGTGTCTGACACCAACTCTATCAAGAGACACGTTGACATATCCCCCTCCCCCCCCTCCCCCATATTACGCGCTCCGTTCCCGCGGCCAAGTGGCGAGATTCAATTTTCAGCCAAGGATGCACGCAGTCACGTAGCCGTGAGACGGCGTGGGATTCAGCTTATCGCGAATATCACCCTCTGCACTCATATCCCCCCCCCCTTTCATGGCTCGATTACAAAAACTGCTCATTTGATGCCGCATTCTCAGTCTCTGACGCTGGCCTCCTGTACGAGACCGAAAGCTCAGACTAATACACCTACTGTTCCAGAGACCGTTTGTTCATCTTCCTTACAACAGGAACCTGGGATTCGCGTATTCTCTTCCATCAGAGTTATTTCAGTTTATGCTATAATTCTCTAAAATTGCTTTGCAATCGTCTAATTTAGCTTAACAATTAGAACCCTTATCATATCTTGACTCGTGATTCCGTAAATTCAGACGCATCTTTTTTGCGTACGTGTTATGTTAACTTATTAGGTTTGGAAAGATTATCGCCTAGCCTGGAACCCGCATGAGTTTGGTGGAATG